TGATGGTGGTGGCAATACTGATTCCCACCCCAGGGCTCTTCCCTGATATCACACAGCCAGATAGTTTACAATAGGAGTTAATGTATAAGAAAAGAATCCTACTTAATAAAGAATGTGGAAACATTGGGACAAGCCCACAAAGATAAATCCTTCATATAGGATAAAAGGGAGATAGCAAATGAAATGGGACTGATAATTGAAAACAATCCGATTTCACCTATAAGTGGAACCTAATCAACAAAACAAAAAATAAGCAAAATAGAACCAGAGACTTGGAAATAAAGAACAAACTGACAGTGACCACAGGGGAGAGGGTAGGGGGATAATTGGGGAAAGAAGAGGAAGGAACAAGCAAAGGAACACAAATAAAGGACTTATGAACAATGGGGGGATTGACAATGGGATTGGGGCGGTGAGCAATGAGGAAAGAGGCAGGACAACTGTAACCAAACAACAATAAAAACAATTTTTTAAAGCAATCATTAGAAAGAAATAAGAAAGATGGGAGAAAAGAATGGCAACATGAAAAGAGAATAGAAGACATTAGATGAGACAAAAAGGACAGTAAATTAGGAGAGCCCAAAAATGGGAGGTCATGATCAAAAATGAAAATATGATAAAATGTCCTGATTGGTATAGCTCAGTGAATTAAGTGCCAGCCTGCTAATCAAAGGGTCACGAGTTCAGTTACCAGTCAGGCTACATGCCTGGGTTGCAGGCCAGGTCCCCAGTAGGGGGTATGTGAGAGGCAACCACACATTAATGTTTCTCTCCCTCTCTTTCTCCTCTTTTCCCTCTAAAAATAAGTAAATAAAACCTTTTAAAAAATATGATGAAATAATTCAAGAACATGCAGATAGATGTGGCATTTTATGTTATTTTTAAATTATATATATATAATATTATATATATAAAATATATAATATCCTGGCCAGGTGGCTCAGTTGCTTGGAGCATCATTTTGTGCACCAAAATGTGTGTTCAATTTCTGATTAAGGCACATAACTAGGTTGCAGGTTCAATCCCATTTCTCACATAGATCTGTCCATCGTATCTCTTTTTCTCACAAATCAATGAAAACATCCTTAAGTAAAGATTAAAAATTCTCAGTATCTCTATCTAGAATTATATACATAATAAAATAGTCCATAATGAAATCATATAAAAATGCATTTAAACTACTTTGAAGAAAGGTAAACCTAAAGTGGCAGTAGTATTAAGTTCCTAATCCTCTAAAATGTTAAACAAATAAGAAACAGAAATCCAAAGATGTGCTTCTCTATATGAAGATTCATTAATATGTAAAAATCAAAGAAACACATGGGAAGATAAGGTTGGGCATTCCTGTATTCCTTCAAATGACTTTATTTGCTTATTTTAGAGACACATGAATGATGATGAGACACATCATCATTATTTTAGAGACACATAATGATGAATAAATATATAAGGGGTAGGGAATCCCAAACATTTTAAACAATCAAATCACACTGCATTAATTAAAAAAGGGGGATAGTTTATGCAGTATTCAGAATTGTTTGAGTTTATTTCCTTACTATTTCACTTCCTCAAGAGTCTGAACATAAATGTTGCAATCATAATTTTGGTTTGCAGCCTGATTAGCCATGGCTCATTTGATGAGCCAAATACCCCTGTGGTGCCTCCTGGGATAGGAGGCATCCATTTTTAATCTATGTTTAGCAGAGATAAATGGGACATAGTAATGAGGCAAGTCTCATGGAAAAGTGAGTTTAAAACGTGGTTAGTCAACCAAATGTAGATACTTAGCAAATCAATATGCTGGTTAAGGACACAAGTCTTAAAATCAAATAGATATGGATTTGGCCCCCAATTGAGCTATTCATAGCTATCCACTCTTTTCCCCTCTTCTCTGTCTTCTCCTTTCTCTTCTTTCTCACTTTTCTGCCTTCTTTTATTCAAAAAAATAGATTGACCATTTACTATTTACTGGGTTCATGTCGTAGACTAGTGGGCCAGTTATATCACATTCCTGAGAGAGAACATGAAAAGTTTATAGGAAAGAAATTTGTGGCACCAAGATAAAAAATTGACCCAAATAAAAGAACAGATCAAAACTCCAGAAAAAAAATACAACTAAACAATGAAGAGATAACCAACCTATCAAATGCACAGTTCAAAACACTGGTAATCAGGATGCTCATAGAAATGGTTGAGTATGGTCACAAAATAGAGAAAAAAGTGAAGGCTATGGAAAGTGAAATAAAGGAAAGTGTACAGGAAACCAACAGTGATGGAAAGGAAACCAGGACTCAAATCAATGATTTGGACCAGAAGAAAGAAATAAACATTCAACCAGAACCAAATGAAGAAACAAGAATTCCAAATAATGAGGAGAGGCTTAGGGATCTCCAGGACAACTTTAAAAGTTCCAACATCTGAATCATAGGGGTGCCAAAAGGAGGAGAAGAGCAAGAAATTGAAAACTTATTTGAAAAAATAATGAAGAAGAATTTTCCCAATCTGACAAAGGAAATGGACTTCTAGAAAGTCCAGGAAGCTCAGAGAGTCCCAAAGAAGTTGGACCTGAGGAAGCACATACCAAGGAACATCATAATTACATTACCCAAGATGAAAGATTAGGAGAGAATCTTAAAAGTAGCAAGAGAAAAAGAGATAGTTACCTATACAGGAGTTCCTGAATAGGTTTAATGAACATTAAAATGACAACAAACTCACAAGTATCAACAACCAAACCTAAAAAAAAGACAAAGCAAACAAGCAGAATAATAACAGAATCACAGAAGTGGAGATCACATGGGGAAGCCTCCATATGGAGGGGTGGGGAGAATGGGAGAAAAAGTACAGGGAATAAGTAGCATAAATGGTAGTTACAAAATAGACAGGGGAAAGTTAAGAATAGTATAAGAAATGGATAAGCCAGAGAACTTACTGTATGACCCATGAAAATGAACTAAAGGTTGGGGAAAATGAAGGTGGGAGGGGGTTGCAGGGCAGAGGGGAATAAAGGGGGGAAATGGGACAACTGTAATAGTATAGTCAATAAAATATATTGTTAAGTGTAGGAAAAAATAAACTTGTGGTGTGCAACACAAGCAAAGGTACAACTGCAGAAATAAGCCTGGCTTATTAGGACAACTGCAAGCATACTAGAGGTAAATAATAAATAATTTTGGAAAAATAGGTTGAAATCAGATTGTGAAGGGCCTTGAATGCCAGGATAAGCAATTTCAAGTTATCACCGAGAATTGACTAATGATTAGAAATCAAGTGGTTAGAGAATTAGTATAGTACAGAAAGGCCAAAGGAGATTAATTTCAAGAGGGATAGATTACTACATACTTTGAAGAAGCCAAGAAAGAAATGGATTTAACTTTTAGGAGGGTATTCATGACTTTTAAAATAACTTTGATTAGGAGGTGGAGATAGAAACCAGTTGTAACAATGAAAGGAGGGAATTGAGAGTAAAAAAAAAGAAAATTAAGCCTATGAGGCCAAGAGTTCCACAGGAAAGTTAAACAGAAAGGAAAGTACTAACACGGAAGAGATTAAGGAAGAAGTAATGCTAAGGGCAGATACATTCTTCCTAAGATGAAGAGTTACTACCTATATGTGAAGTAAGGGAGCAATGAAAAGAGATGAAGACGCTAGCTTGCAAGGATACAAGATAAGAGTTAGAACTGATAGCTAAAGTGGAGAGGGAAGTCTTGCAGAGTCAGGGCAGCACTTCCTCTTCTGAAACTGAGGGGCTGACTTAACAGGGGTTTCCTTTGTATCAAGGAGGGAATCAAGGTAACATTTGTCTGTGTACTGGAAGTCGACTCTTATTAGAAAGAACATCAGGCCACAAAAAGTCCAAGTGACTGAAACTGCAGAAAGACAAACATAAAAGAGTTTAGCCCATCAATAGCTTCAGTAGAATTATCAAACCAGAACACTTTCTGAGTCCTTCTGCTCTGTGACACGTGAAAGCAGCAGTGCAAACATTCAAAGAAATGTAAAGTGCCCTTAATCTTCACCCCTACTTCAGAAACAGTGTTACAAGGTTGTAAAGACCGCAGGTCCAATCCAAGAACGATTATCTGTGCTCTAAGTCACCAGATAAAGTTTAAGGTTAAATGAATGGGTTTTTATGTAAAGAAACACATCATAGGAGTTAGTGGTTGTGAAAGAGCCATTCAATTCTTTGTGAACATGTCTATTCTACATTCAAAACATCAACTCCAGGAACTTTACTGCCAAATTGCTCTTAAACCTTGTATACACTTTTCCTCTGCCTTCCATCTCTAGGGTTCAAGGGGGCGAGTAGGGAAATCTTCTGAGAAATCTGATCTGGCTCCATCTCTATTTGAGCTCTGGGTTGGGAAAGAGGGAGCAGAGGGGTATCCTGGGTGCAATGCTCTCCTCCATGGCCACCTGGGACTAGGCTCACACCCCAGGAGTAATAATTCCATGCAAGGAAAGCTGAGGCAGGTACATCTGGCTGGACTAGAGAATCCTGGGGTTAAGGAGACCCTAGTGTACACTTGAAGAGCAGAGTAAGTGCATTTGGCGGGAGAGGGCACAGTGCTGACTGAGCATCTTTGCTTTGGAGTCTTCCCTTTCGCAGTATCTTATCTGTGCCAAGAGCTGGAAACTGGGGCTGCAGGCAGGAGGCAGAGTGTTAGTCCCAGCACTGACCCTTTGCCCTGTGGCAGGGCGAGGACTTAGGGGGAGCCCTGAGAGCCAGCCAAGGACGGCCTGCCTGATCTCTGCTCCAGTCCACAAATCCTTAACGGATTTTCTTTCTCTCCCTTTATCCTTTTCTCTTCTTTGCTCTCTTTCTTTCTCTCTTCCTTTTTCTTCCTTTTCCCCCCTCTTTTTCCCCTCCGTCCCCATCCCCTTCCCTTCCTCTCCCCTCCCCCTCTCCCCTCCCCCTTTCCATGTGTGCGAGCCTCTTCCTTCCCCTCCTCCCCCTTTCCGCCTCTCTCCCTCTCTCTCCATCTCCTTCTCCCTCTCAGCTCGCCGGGCGACCCTGCTTCTGCCTCCCACATTAATGGCGGCATCTTCGGAGGATGATATAGACCGGCGGCCCATCAGAAGAGTCCGCTCCAAGAGCGACACGCCGTACCTCGCAGAGGCCAGGATTTCCTTTAACCTCGGAGCAGGTAAGGACGACCCTCGCTCCTCGCTCTCTCCCCACCACGCTTCCTTCTCTACCTTTCCTCCCGGTCGGCTGGCTCGGCCCCCTGCCCCTCCTTGGTCTCTCTCTCCTGGCGGTGCCCCCACTCCCGCCCTCTTTCTGCCCAGCCCAGCGCGGGCGCTCGCTCACTCGTTCTCTTTGTGTTGCTGGTGTGAAGAGGGTGTGTGTGCGTGCGTTTGTGTGTGTGCGCGCGCGCGTGTGCACACGCGCTGCGGAGGTGAGGGAAGGTAGTACCTGGAACCCTACATTCGCCCAAGAGTCACGTGCGGGCTTTCTCCTTCTTGAAGAGAAGAGAGTGTAGTCACTGATAACAATGACCGTAGGAATAACCAAGAGCTGGGTGCGCTGGCTGTGCGTTCCGCTGGTGAGACTTGCTAGCGAGGCTACTACGGGGTGGGTGGAACTTGTTGGTGACATTGAGACTCTGGTGATTTTGCCGGGTTGATACCACTGCTGTGGTGTTGGAGTGGGGAGAAGGGGGTGGGGTTGACAGCTGGGAACAGGACCTTTTTCTTTGACTAAGCAGTTAGCAAGCAACCATTGTGATCATACTAATAATAACATGGTGTATAGAATACATGTTAGGTGATTGGATGGGGAACTGGTGCTCAAAGTGACTAAGATGAAATTGAGTGAAAAGGGTAATTGAGGTAAAGGAGGGAAGGAGGGAGTGGGAGGGAAGAAGACCAGAGAAGGAAGGAGAGAAGGAAGGAAGTTGGAAGGAAGGAAGGAAGGAAGGAAGGAAGGAAGGAAGGAAGGAAGGAAGGAAGGAAGGAAGGAAGGAAGGAAGGAAGGACAAAGGGACTCAGAGAGTCAAAGTGCTTCAGCTGAGACCTCTCAGGGTTACCTGAGAAGCAAGCACCCACTGTCAGCTGTCCCCACTGCTGCTACTGCTCCAGATTCACAGGCAGGCCACACCCCCAATAACTAGTAGATGGTCACTATCACTGGGAAGAAGTTGTTCACCACTAGCTTCAGAGTGCTGCCTTTTCTGAATGACTCCTAAGCCTCCACCCTAGCTTGCATCTCTTGCTGTTTAGGGTCCCTTGGTGTTCTAGTTACTCCAGTGCAAAAAGAGTGAGGGCATTTCCCTGAAGACCATATTTCAAAGTTAAGTTTTAAAAGCAGGTAGTACATTTTATTCTCTAGGAAACTAAACCCTTGAAAATGAACTAACTCAAAGTGTGTGTGTGTGTGTGTGTGTGTGTGTGTGTGTGTGTTTGCACACACTGCAGCAAAAAGAACCTTCAAATTATGAGCACTTTAAACACTATCAAGAAATTTAGAGCAGGAAAAAAACCCTCTGCATATCATAGAGAAACAAGATGTGCTTGCTAAGTAACCATATCTTTATGACTGGAAGGATGGCAACTGGATGTGCCAAAGTTTCTTAAAGTGTAATTTTTCGTCTTGTGATTTTGGTTTTCTAATCGTATGCTTCCTTGTCACTCCTGAAATGTTGGTCTCTGGATTTGGGGCTGGGGAGAAGAGGACTTCATTGGGGGGGAAGCTTTGGCACTTTCTGTGGTGTGCTGTAATAGCCTACGGTCTCACTTTGGAACTGTTAATCCTCTATGTGTATGCTCCAGATTCAGAGTAATGTTGTGAGGGGTCTTGAAAAGGTCTGAGAGGAGTATTTTCAAGGCTTAAGATTGTGTGTGCAGCCAATGAGATTGGGACTTACTCTGTTGACCCCTTTGCTATCAAACTCTTACTCACTTCCGCTAGCACAGGGGTAAAGGGGCTGAAGTAGCAGTTAGTAAAGGCTGTTTACCCCCCTACTTGTACTTTCACAACAAAAAATAAAGCACTAAAAAAGAGTTTCAAGTTTCAGCTACTACTGACTTACATTGAAACATCTTGTCACCAGATTAAACCCAGTGACTTGCACTCTTTTATTCTGGTTAAATTGCTCTGGAGGCCAGTTAAAAGAACAGACTTTTCTGAAAGAATGTGTCTTCCTTACATCTGGGGAAAAAAGCCAAACAAGCTCCAAGTCCCCTCCATCTGTCCCTAAGAATACTGCTAAAATCAGTGTCCAGGAAGACACCGGTGAAAAGAGAAATGTCGTGGGGAGGATGGTAGTGTATTAAAGGAGGCAGGGCAGTGCCTACTGGAGCTGTCCTTCGTTTAGGGGAGCTGTCCTTCCTTGGTGGTGCTGAACAGGACTTTGTGAAGAGATGTGACTCTAAGCTTGACGGTGGAGGTGGAGGGAGGGATGCTCTGTCTCCCTGATGGAATTCCCCGGGAACCGCGGAAGATCTGGCCACCGAAAACTTTTCTATCCCTGCCCACTTAATGTTTGTCGCCTGTTTACTACGACTCACGCCTACTGCTCCACTGCTCAAATCAGGCGGTTTTGCTCTAATTTTGCGCCGGCTGCTCACTCCCGGAGCTTTATTTTCCAGCTGGTTTCTGGTTGCTTTCCTGACATAGTAAGATCTACTTACAGATGTTCCTGTCCCTGGCGTCTAAAAGTAATTGTAACCCCCAGTTTAAAAAGCAAACAGCCTTGTTTATCTCCTTGAGCAGCAAGTTGTAATTAAACTATTAGTGTCCTTATCACTGTTGCTCAACAGAGGAGCCTGCACACTCTGGTTAAACTACATAATTTGGGCATAGAGAGAATTTTGTCTCCGAACAGCAATTTAAAATCAATTAAGCAAAGAAGCTTTCATCTGCCCTTTCTTCCCACTCCTCTCCTACCCCCGTCACTTATTGTTTAGTCTTTCCAGAAATTTTTTTATTGGTTTAAACTATTTACATTTGGTCTTTGCTTTCTCACATCCACTCATTATATACAAGGCCATGTTGGATGTTTTATAGGTTTAATAATGCTTCAAGGAAATAAATATACATACACTCATTTTACTTGCATATCATGAAATCCTTTGGGATACCAACACCCTTAAGCTAATTTTTACAGTTGTCAAGTAAAGTGAGCCAGGCATTTTAAATACTGATTAATACTTAAGGATTTCTTAACTTTACCCTGTCCCTGATGATACTTGGGAATGTCATATTAGAAATAACTCCATACCTTGAGTGAAGGATACAGTCATTCACCTACAGTCCCAAGTCAGTCAAAGAATAGTATGAAAATGTGGGTCTTTCATAAATTTATGATGTTAATTTTAAGGTTAAGCCTAAATTGAGACAGAGAAAAGCACTTTTTTGAATCATAACTTATTTTTCTGAAAGAGCCCCATTTTTAGGTTTTTAACTTCTACTTGGCATTTAGTATATTATGCAGATATTGATAGATACTTGTTTGCTGAAGATAGTATACCAGTATATGCTACAGAAAATCAGTCCAACGTATTTGCTGAGAGTTATTTAGACACATCAGAATCCATTTAAAATATTGGAAGAGTTTTGAGAATTCCAAATGTTTAAAAGGACATTGTGTGAGAGAAGAGGATGGTCACACTATTAGTAGCAAGTGTTTCTAACTGTGTTCTCACTTAGTAATGAACATCACTGACATTTTGTTTCTATGGGAAACATAAAGCTTCCTCTGCTTTATGAGGTCATTCTTTTACTACATTAAGGGAATGCAATGAAGACTTGCAGCTCAACTGGCAGATATTTTTCTATGGGCCAATATATCCTATTTTTCATTGGATTGATAATACATAGAGCAGTATTCAATACACAGAATGTGCTGAAACTGAAAAGTTCTCTGAAATTACACACTAAAATGGATGAAAGGTTATAGTAAACTGAGGATTTAAGTACATCTAAAATTTCTTAAAGGGATTTCCAAAGAAGGAATACTAATCATCCTGATCATTTAGGATTATTTAAAACACAAACAATACTGGCTATGTTTGAGAAGAATAAGTACTCTTCTGAACATCAGTAAGCTTAACCTTTATTGACACTTCAGAATTGCTTTTTATGCTCAACCTTGGCATACTTATCTTCCTTGGAAGGCTGGAATTTGTTTTAGTTTCTAATGTCACCCAAGTATAGCTGTTTCTTCCATTGGTCTATTCCACTCTTTTAGGCCCACAGAATAATGGCAGTGAAAATTGGTTTGCTCTGGCTACCTTTAAGAATGGATGGGTCAGCCAGATTAAGTTTTAAATTGAATCTCAGGAGATCTCTTTCTTACCTTTCTTGAGGAGAAAGACCTTAATTCCTTAGCTAAATTATGAAGGCCCATGATATTGAGAAGTGATAACCCATAATGTGCTATCATTATTTAGCAATGAGAACAGTTCCTGGGAAAAATTGTGAATGTTGTCATGATGAACTAAGATTGTTTCACCAGCCCTGAATGGTGTAGGTCAGTGGATTGAGCGTGGGCCTGTGAACCAAAGGATTGTGGTTCGAGTCCCAGTCAGGGCACATACCTGAGTTGCAGGCCAGTTCCCAGCAGGTGATGCACGAGAGGCAACCATACATTAATATTTCTCTCCCTCTCTCCTTCCCTTCTCCTCTAAAGATAAATAAATAAAATCTTTAAAAAAGATTGTTTCACCAGCCTAACGGTCTTGGTAAGTCTTCCCCTTTATTTTTTTACTGAAAAATGCCAATGTATCCTTCACAATATTTGTTGTTGGTACTGTTTTCAAATTGAAAGTGAATTACATGGGTCTGGCTTTTATTTCATGGGTCCAAAGTCTTCTTTTAAGTATTGCTCTTACATTAGGTAGCCGTAATATTCAAGGGGCTGACCATGGAGATGACCAGGAGTTCCTACTATGGGGCTTTCTGAGGGTCTGCTCTCCATTTGTACCATTGTTAAAGCTAGCTAACCTGATAATCTCAGTTTGTCATGCATTCAAGTGGTACCCGTGAATACTTCTCCAGATAACATAAATAATATAAACAAACCAGAAGGACATAAGTAATTAACTCTGTGAGGAAATGGGAAGCCCTTTGCTACAAATATATAATCATAAATGTATAACATGTAAACCATGTCATTTTTTCAACAACAGTTTATACATTTACAAG